ACTCATTTCTGATGAGTTGAGTTTCACTCAGTTTTACTCATACTAATAGAGTGAAAATTTCACTCAGTCGAATGTGGACAGAAATTGATACATTGTTGAGTAAAATTGAGTGAAACTGTTTTACAGTGTATTTTCAATTTTTTCAACACAACTCTGATCAAAGTTTAATATAGGCAGAATATCCAGTAAGCTGTGAGAAAATTAAAACTATGCCATAAACAAACATTGCAGACAATATATGAATAATACTGCGTAAATTAGTTCTCTAATAGTCAAAGTTTAAAATATTAATAATTTTATATCCAAAACTTTTAAGATATCACAAAAAATATATTTATTAGCTAGCTTAAAAATGGACGATTTTATAAAAAGTGTATACAGGGTTTTTCAGTCATAATGACATCAATTTTACCCACCCATTGGGAATGCCTAATAAAGGCAGAAAATAAAAAAAAAAAAATTTATCGATCTTTAAAAAAATAAGCAAATTACCCCTTAACTCGCGTTAACTCAGCGCCCCACTTTGTAATAGGGAACGCGCCGCGCAGGCCGGCGCAGTACACAGTGATTGGACGTTGTAGCGAAACAGCTGATTTCCTAGTCGTCCGTCGTCTCGTCCAGTTGCAATTGCTCTCAAAATCAAAGTACAACGGATCTCAACTTTATTGAGAGTTTATGGACGAATGAGTCAGTGTTTTTTAGCCGTATTGGTGATTTTAAATAAGTAGTTACCATACAACTCTGAAAAGTAATAAATTACACAATAAGATATACGTATTACAAACTGAATAATTACCTACTTGAACATAATGTAATACTAAAAACTCGCATTCAATTATAAAACATTAAAATTGTGTTAGTGATTGAACTGTAAGGTAGGCCAAGATTCACTCTCGATGTATAGTAGGTTAGCGGTCAAGAGTGGTCCGAAAAAGGGGTTTAAACAATGATTTCAAAATATTTTTTTTTTCAGCGTAAATATCCATTTTAATTTTTTTTAATGGCGTACTCCTTCCCTTAAAATTAGTGACATTATGACTGAATCACCCTGTATAAAAAGAACCTACCTCTTTTGTGGTGTATCTAAAGATATCGAGAGATAATTCAGGACCATCGTGTATATTTTCCGGTTTTCCGAAATTTTAACCTTGCTACTTACTTATTAACTAACAAATTGCAACAAATTCCGTGCTGTGAGGCTTACAGTTTCAACCTTTCCGTGTGCCAGACAACTTTGATCAAAGTTTAATATATTTCCGCCGGTACAAGCCGAGGATCAGAGAAGATTGCCAAAACCAATAGAAAGGACTAGACACGATGTAGGTCCAGATTGGACGAACTCCCGACAAGATTAGGGCTGTCAATACGTTAGGAAGGGGATGGATGGCCTTGCGGGCCGCCGATTTCTATTTTCTCCCTAATCAAGAGCTTCACACGAGCAATTAATTAGCGGTCGACCGCCTGACCTTTGCCCGCCCGTCAGTTTAACCTTTCCCGCGCAACGGGGCAATAATAACGATTTAAATATTTTAAGCTGTACACTGAATTATTAGTTTGCTTTGTTTATCTAGGCGGTATACGTGCTGGCGATTTGAATCTCCGGTTTGCGCGGCGATCCCTGCTACGCCCCGATGCCTTTGTGTGTGCTTTAGCCAGAAATGAAATACAATTAGGATAAAGAGGAGCACCGCGTTCTCGGTATACATTGAGGGTAAAGTTTTTCCACTCCGCCAAAAAGGGGAGTTGTTTAAGGGAATCCTGGCCCGCACCGGAATTTTTGCTGAAATAAAAGCACTTTGTGCAAAGCATCCACCGTGGATTCCAAATCTCGAAATTGGATATGCTTATGTTTAAGGAAATACAAAATACGCCGCATTACATTTATTAACATTCACAAATTCTACATTTATTGCTAACAAATTCAAGACTTATGAAGCCACTACATCGGGGTTCCTCAGTGTTCGAATTTGGGCCCCCTACTCTTTCTCCTATTCGTTAATGACCCTCATAGTACACTAAATATGCGTTTATATCTCTTTTGTCAGTCAGGCCCACAAACTTCAGGAAGAATTCAATACCTGTAGTTTCGTTTATTTACAACAATATTAACCTAAATATGAATAAATGCAAGTTTTTTCACGGCTCCAACATTTTTATGGGCACTACTAGAATTACCCCAAGGTGCAATGCCATATGTCAAATGACTGTGAACTAATGAGTAATACACCATTCCCATTACACTGTTGTCAACTGAAGGTCGAATATATCTTAACAGGAATATTTGTGTTAAGAGTTTTGAAGCTAGACTATCAATATGTGCTGTCCAGTTTAGACTAGAATCTAGAGTAACACCCAAATACTTTGTATCCGATTTGGATTGGATTTTACTAGAAGTAAATGTTAGGTGTTGAGTTTTGGAAACATTTAGCTTCAATTTATTCGCTGAAAACCATCCGCAAAGATGATACAGGTACTGTTAGGAATATTGCCCGGTAAATCGTTGATGTATATCTGCAAAAGCACAGGACCTAGCACTGACCCTTGAGGTACACCATTACATATAGGGAGTGATGTATTTTCCGTGTTATTTATACTTTCATATTGCTGTCTGCCTATTAAATAAGATTGAAAACGTTCACTGTTACGAATACCGTAATATTCAAGTTTTGCAAGTAAAATATCGATATTAACGCATTCAAAGGCCTTCGAAAGATCACAAAAAGAAGCATAAGTAACAGCATTACTATCAAAACCATCAACGACTTCGTCAGTAACTGCTAGAAGGACTTTGATGGTAGAAAAGTAAAATATCGACATTAACGCAATCAAAGGCCTTCGAAAGATCACAAAAAGAAGCATAAGTAACAGCATTATTATCAAAACCATCAACGACTTCGTCAGTAACTACTAGAAGGACTTTGATGGTAGAAAAGTCCTTTCTGATATCAAATTGTAAAGGTGACAATATACATGGTGTCCCAGAATGTGTGGTCAATCTCTCGGATTTATGCTGGGGATGTTAAAATAACATGACAAGTTCCTATAAAAATTCTCCCTAGAGCCCCCCCCCCTCCCCCCCGACGGAGATACAGGCCCCTAAATGATGCCCTAGTAAACTTCTAAAATACTTTGTGTAATTTAATTATTTTTTAATATGAAGGACAACAGATAAGACTCCTTAAAAATTGACGCATGAAAACAATTTGGCTTCTTTGGTTTGCCAGGGACTGACTAGTTTTAGCACAGTAATGTCAATTTTTGTACACCCTGTACGATAAAGACACAAAAATAATATTTTTATACAGCTTGAACCTTAAACTAAAAAAGGTACTCTTGGTTGATATCGATAAAATTGACTGTTTTCGAGAAAAAACTATTTTTGTTTAATATGATTTTTATTACATAATTTTGTATGTCATGTCGGTTCAACTTGAGCTCCTTCTAATGTTATGCATTCTCTAGGTATACGAATTACAGATTGTTGGATCGAGGAGGCCAAGCCACTGGTCTTCTTCTTCCTATCCAATGATTTTCGAAATGCCTGTTTAAGTGTTTTCGAACTGCCAGACTAAAATGGGGTGGTGCCCCATCATGCATGAACAACATACCATGTCGCATTGCCAAAGGTAGGTCGTCTAAAAGTTTTGGCAAGTTGTCTTGGAGAAATTCCAAATAAAGTTCCCCAGTTAACCTTCTAGGCAATATAAATGGTCCAATGAAATGTTGCCCGATGATTCCAGCCCCGTTAATAGGTTCAAACTGCTGCTAGATGCGTCACAACAGAAGCATGTGGATTTTCTTCTGCCCATAAATGCAAATTATGGGAGTTTATGATTCCATTTTTACAAAATCAGGCTTCGTCCGTAAAGAGAATAGAACCGATTAAATTTGCATTGTTACAGTAGGTACCTATACAAAAGCTAGTTTGAAAATTACATCCTTCGCGGAAAGTCTTCAGGAAGAAGTGCAATAAGGATGCAATTGTTGCTCTTTAAGGATTCTAAGAACCGTAGATTTTGGGCAATTAAATTGTGTCAATTTCCGGACACTTCTTGAAGGAACTGCTTCTATGGCATTTAGGATAGAATGCAAATTTCATTCGTTTATTTCTCTTTACGGATGTAATAAAAATCGTATTAAACAAAAATAGTTTTTTCTCGAAAACAGTTCATTTTATCCATGTCAAGCAAGAGTACCTACTTTTTTTTAGTTGAAGATTCAAGCTATCTAAAAATATTATTTTTGTGTTTTTATCGTACAGGGTGTAAAAAAAAATTGACATTACAGTGCTACAGCTAGTCCGTCCCTGGCAAACCAAATAAGCCAAATTGTTTTCATGGGACAATTTTTAAAGAGTCCATCGTATTAAAAAATAGTTAAATTACACAAAGTATTTTAAAAGTTATTAAAAAAAATCGAGTTTCAGGGGCATCCTTTCCTCTAGGAAAAATTTTTATAGGAACTTGTCTTGTTATTTTTGTTATTTTCACATCCCCTTTATAAATTCGGGAGATTGCCCATATATTCTGGGACACCCTGTAGATTTAACTTCTAAATAAGTAATTAGTTTTTCTTTTATGAGAATTTCAAATATTTTTGAAAAAATCGGAACTATAGAAATAATATTTTGTATTCAGTATTTTATTTTGATGGATACAAGTTATTCGAATATCCTACACTATTTTCGTTGCCCTATTCTAATAATTACTATTCTACCGATGAGACATACAAAAATTATTTTCTATTATATTGATTTTATAACTAACCAAAATAAACTAAAATTAAGTTGGAACGGATATTACCTACAATAGAAAATATACGTTGTCTGAATCGTTAAAATGAATAGCTTATTAACAATTGCTTTTGTCGGTAAAATTCGCTCGTGACGCAAATAATTACAATGAAATGTTTGACTTTCAATTACAAAGTGCAGGGGCTGCGCCCCCTCGGGAAATTGTTAATTGAAATATCTCTCATCCCGCCCTTTGTTCCAGGACATAGACTACGAGGGTTTCCACAAATTCCTGGATACGTTTTTGGAGGTGAGGACGCCCGAGGAGCTATGCAGGCATCTCTTCTTGTCTTTTGTGAGGAAGGGGGTGAAAGTCGAAGGTAAAGCCTTCAAGGAAATGACAGTGCTTAGCTCGACAACGGCTTGTGCCCCGATAACGTCGCATAACAAAGGTTGCTCTTAGTTAATAATCACTCTAACACGTCTAACAAACACCACACAGACAAGCTAACACGCCGCTGGTTTGAATGGGTCGATGTTTTACTCACAATTTGGATGTTTAACAATTTTAGTACATAACATTAAATAAAGATTCAGATGTATACCGAATTTTTTGTTAATCACTGTATACTGTATGGATTATTTGCTAAATTAACTGCTAACTAATGCTAACTAACAATCTTTTGTCTTTTGAGGCTTGTTATTTAAAAAAAAAACAAAATATGTGGCTTTTAAGAGACGGAAACAACATACCAAAAAACTACTTGTGCAGGATGTTTTTAAATTGTCTCCCAATATTTTCAGAACATATAGTATTACCTACGTCTTTTGCGATATCTTAAAAAAGTTGTTTGAAATATTCATGTATTCAACTTTTTGCACCATTTTTAAAGCTGTTGAATAATATTTGATTTCTGGACTATTGGAAAAAAGGTACTTCTTCAATTTTGACGTTTTTTTTTTCAAAAACTCGAGTTTACACACGAGAATGTATTTTTAAAACTTCGATCAATTTGTATAAACAAATACTTTAATTATTTTATTGCCAAAAAAATTAAAATTTTCGCAAGGCCAACCTATTTTCAATATTGCAGCAGAATTTCTAGAAAATATTTGAAAAAAGAAAACAAATTATTTTATGCAAATTTATTTTTTTTTTTCAAATGATAACAACTAAAGTACTTATTTTATAGAAACTTTTCGAAAGCGATCGATATTATGAAATTTTACAAATGCAGTATCTTACTCATATACCGGGTGTTTCAATTTGATATTCCCGGCCTTGTAATATATTTTTAAGTCGCCGCTCAAACTCTATCAAATGACATTATTAGATCGTCTCCATGGTAACATAGGTATGTCAAAATTGCTATAGTCAACTGTTTTTGTCCAAATGGCATACTATATACTTTTTAATCAATTCTGGAAGATTTTTTTCTGCGTTCAACTATGTAAAGATGTCTATAGTTTCATTAGAAACATTGCTAGAAAAATAGCAAAAAAGATGAACCCTAATTCTCGTAGCTTTATTCCGAGAAATGATAGCCAACTGCGGAAACAAGTTACTATGTTCTTCAAAGTAACATATTTTATTTTTAATACGATAATAATATAACAATTTATAACAATATTTATTTCAAATGTTCAAAATGACCTCCCCTTGCTTCCAAACGCAGAATAGCTATGTTTATTACTCCACCTCTACAAACACATTCTTGTTGTGTTTCTTCATTTAATCTCCGACATTCTACTCTTATTTTGTTTTTAAGGTCGTCAATATCAATTAAAGAAGAGCAAACTTTTTCTTTTAAGTAAGGCCAAAGAAGGAAATCTGTAGGAGCGAGATCCAGAGATCTAGCCATTTAACATCTTTATCGAATGTTCTTTTTTTTTGAAAAGTTCCATCTTCCGCCAAATTCCTGGCTAACTTTCCGAACCCTCCTAAAACTATGCCTTATGCAAGACATGGGATTTAAATAATATTGCGTAAATTAGTGTTCAGATGCCACAAATCTAATATCATTAACATACCTCAAAGGATTTTCAAAATATTAAAATAATAATAAACTTAAAATACGAATAAGATATGTCAGAGTTTTTATAAATCGATACCCTTATTTTTTTGATGTACCCTCCTTGAAAATATCGGAAGACAATTTAGGACCGCCTTGTATAGTTACACAAACATTAATTATGTAATTTTTTTAATTAGAAATATGATAAATACATACGAATATTTGGCTATTTTAAAATAACCAAAAAAAAAAAAATTATTACTCTACTCCAGACTTGCATTGTTCGTATACTGATATTAAACTGGCTAAACAGTGCAATGTTTGCCCGCCTTTAGGGTTCGTAAGTTCCATTAAGTAACAGAGTAATACCGACATTTGAGGGGACGCTGCGATGTTTCGATGTTGCGCTGTTGCAGGATGCTGTTCAGACTTGAACGCGACATTCTTACGGTACTGTATTCTGTTGCATGTCTGTAAAGACCTAGAAAAGATATACGACTTGCGTAATGCTACAATTTTAAGATGTTAAGCTGTTGTAGGTGAGTCCAGACTTATACGTGACGTTTCCGCATTTTTCAATGCAATTAATTCACGGGAAATGGTAGTTTACGTCGTAAACTTTATTTTCCGAAAAATTCAAGTCTTAATATTTAGAAACAATTGCGCTACGATTTAAACAAAAAATCTTATCCATTGTATCTATTTTCGGTGAGATAGCATAAATAGCAACAATTGTATTCAAATTGTTTATAAGCGAAAAACGAACAGTTTTTAATGCACAATTTGAGAATGTTAATGTCAAAAAAACAGTGATATTTTTTAATAGGTCGCTTAATTACGTCTTTAAGATTACAATGACGCTTTCAGAATCATGTTTCATATCATATCATAGCAATGTTACCATTTTTAACGTTAGATATTTTTTTTTCCGATTTTCTGACTGAATCGCCCTGTATAAAGTTTTTTTATTATATTTATTATCTACTAATTTTATACAAAAAAATTTTTGCAGCATAATCAAAATTAATTAAAATAATATTAATCACAACCATTTTCAATAATAGATATAATGGAATATAATACAACTTAAGATTTAAAATTTTTTCTATTTTTATGAGAAATAATAATTTGAAAATAATTTATGAATTTTCACTTTAATTTTACATTTAAATCGTAATTAAATAGCTAACAAAATATTGAAAAAACAAGTTTACTTTGCCTTAATATGTAAAAGAAATAACTTTTTAAATGAACGATAGCTTCCTTTATTTATTTAATAATAGTAAAATAATTCCGAAATTGAAATTTTAATTAATATTTCGTTTAACAATAATTTTTCTGATATTTTCGTAAATTAAAAAAATTTAAGTATGTATTTAAGATGCATTTTTTCTGGGGTTCAGGGCTATTCTACGAATTCGTAAATATGCCCATTGTTATTTTTTCGTCGAGCTATCCCAGTTTTAAAAATAAAATAAGTTTCTACGATGAATAGAAGCCGAGATATTGTAAAATTTACAGCGCGCATCAATTTGAATTAACTTTTCTCGCGCGCGCGACCGCTTGGACGAGCTTCCCCCATCACCACGCCGCCGGTCGCCGGACAGTTTACTTAGCGAGTACCTTCTATTTAAAGGGCTCGTGAGTCGTTAATTTTTCACATTTTTCAATGCAATTCACGGGAAATCGTAGTTTACGTCGTAAACTTTATTTTGCGAAAAATTCAAGTCTTAATATTTATAAACAATTGCGCTACGATTTAAAAAAAAATCTTATCTTGGCTCCTGTTGGTCGTAGAGGGTACTTTTTTATTTTAAAACTTTATTTTTTTGCCAGCTATCCATTGCATCTATTTTCGGTGAGATAGCATAAATAGCAACAATGTTATTCAAATTATTTATAAGCGAAAAACACACGGTTTTTAATGCACAATGTTAATGTCAAAAACACGGTGATATTTTTTAATAGGTCGCTTAATTACGTCTTTAAGATTACAATGACGCTTTCAGAATCATGTTTGGTTGAAAATTAACGCCTGTACAGAGGCTTAAAGTATATAAACAAATAGAATTGTGCGAAAACTATTGCACCTACAGCGCCCACTTCTGGTACACTTTTGAAGTATGGCAAAACCCTCAACTTGTGAAAGGTTTTATAAAATTTTAACAATAAATGCGATAGTTATAAACAAATTAAAAAATGGGCACTTTTCTTGTTTTTTTTGCAATAACGTTTTTGTTTATTAACCGATTTTAATTTAACAAGTCTCATTTTGTAGATAATTTTATTCCCTACAAGCAGTCTAAGAGTCACTTTTCGCTAAAATTAATTATTTTCCCTGCAAAGTGAAAAAACTGTTTTCCCCACTTATTTGTTTAAATAGAAAAGTTAGCTAATAAAAGTTTTTGACTCACGAGTTGAGAGATGTCTTGTATTATGTTCCTTTATACAATTTTACAATAATCTCGCGGATAGGACTTTTTTCGAGTAATAATCTTATTTGCTTGGCCTATAAGGCAACAATGTTATCGTATCTAATTTTTAAACAGATTTAGCAAATATTCACATATAAGCTCATGAGCGTTTACTAAAGAACGTATTTGTAGAATTTATGAGTTTTGGCCTAGGCATACGGAAGTACCAAGAAAAAACGACGCGAGAAAATCTTTTATACGTCGTAATTTTTCTGGATTTGGTAAGCAAAGAAACATCTCCCGCCAGTATCGTCAACATTTGCACATTTGAGTGCAAACATATATCCACATACATTAGAAACCATTGTGATTGAGAATTCGATCCAAGCCGGGAAAATAAAAAAGCATTCCGTATGCTAAATCAATGAATATTTTATTAAAGGAAGCCAAGGACTTCTATTTTCAGGGCACACTACGTAAAGTAATATCAGAGATTGATGCAGTATAAAAATATTTTCCCCAAGAAAGCATATTTATCCTACTGATATAAAATGGAGCAGCAGACGAAAATAACTCGTCTGTATTTTATATAATCCTTCAGTTCTTGTTTCATATTTTATTCAGCTGAGATGAGTCCTTTTCTGAATTTTTTCAGCAGATTGTTCTCACAAATGTGTTGATGCGACAGATATATATAGTTTTAGATAAATATGGTTTTCATGATGATGGGTGGCAAAGCAGTTGAATTTGTTTCGAAAAAAAAGTTTTCTGATTGATAGATCTGCATATTTTACTTCAAAATTTAGATTTTTTTTCAGTTCAGAATAAAATTCTGTAAAAATATATTTTATTTGTCTTAAGACATAGATAGATGACTAAGTCAAATAGGACGCAGTTTTGTGTAAAGATTCTGAAAACTTAGAGTGGATGTACACAACTGGCTAGGCAATCGTGTCCCGGCTAATAAACAGCAATTTGCTAGGGTAGATGTTCGTACGCAGTCTTGGCTGGCACTACAAATTT